TTAGTCGATACTGTGTATGTTAGTGAATAGAAATCTATTCTGTAAACTGAATAATTACGTTAATGACCATTAAAGTACTCATAGGTACTTCACAATGAGTATCTCCTCAAAGTACGTACACTGATAAAACTAGCCGTTTTTTTTTCAAATAAATGAGTTATTTGTCGAATATTTATTGGTATTAAATTAATATTATTCAAATTAACAGAAATTTATTTGTTTAAAATACCTCAAATGATTTGTTTTTTTTTTGTAAATTTACTTGAAAATATATATATTTCAGTTAAATATCGCAGTATTTAAAGTAAATAATTTAGCAGCAAATAATCAAATGATTAATGCCAAATGATAATTTATTTGAATCAAAAAATGTTAAAAACATATTGAACAAATTTAGGCATTAAGTTAAATACATTGTTGTTTTTATTTCAAATATTAATTATTATTAGGTACTAAATAATTATTTATTGTTCAGGATTTCAATTTTTTTGATAAATTTTACCCGAGCCATCAGTTCGGATGTGGGGGCTGGCATTTAAAAATAGTTACAGAGGACATAAAAATCTTATTTTTGGCATATTTACAATAGAAATGATTTGCAACATTCTTGTATACAAATCTTACCACTACCAACCCCTAGAGAGAGATAGAGGGGGTGGCATCCCTAATAAAGCAAGTTAGAACTTTTTAAATAAAACAGTTAAAATCTACGATTTTTTATATATACAAACAAACTTGATTTTGTGGGGATGCCTCTCCCTCTAGGGGTTGGTAGTGGTAAGATTTGTACACAAAAATGTTGCAAATCATTTCTATTGTAAATATGCCAAAAATAAGATTTTTGTCTTCTGTAACTAATTTTAAATGCCAGCCCCCACATCCGAACTATGACGGTTCAGGTCGAAATTTTTTCTAAGTCGAAGATTTCAACTGTTTTATTTAAAAAGTTCTTACTTGATTTTTTGGGGATGGCACCCCCACCATATCAGATAGGGGTGGGGGGTAAATATTTATTTGATTTTTGTTTTTTAAGAATATATGATGAAATAAATATTTATTTGATTTTTGCTTGCAAGAAAGTACGATGAAATAAATATTTATTTGATTTTTGCTTGCAAAAGAGTATGATGAAATAAATATTTATTTGATTTTTGTTCTTAAAAATTTTTTATGAAATAAATATTTATTTGATTTTGCCAACATGTGCTAATTATTAAATACATATTTATTTATAGGACACTTAAAGCAAATAAATATTTCGTTGAGTTTTGTTCTGTGGTAGTAGAGTGAAATAATTATTTGTTTGAATTTTCCAATAGATAAATAAATTTAAATAAATATTTATTTGTTTGTGATTTGAAGCAAATATGTCTTTGAATTTTACACTTGAATGGATTTGAGGAAATAAATAAATGTTTGATGTTTCCACAAAGTGAATAAAATTAAATAAATGTTTATTTATATGACATTCATAGCAAATAATTATTTATTTCATTTTTTTCAGTTAGTGATATGGACAAATATGTATTTGTTTCATTTTGACTAGTAGTTTATTATAATGGAATATCGATTTATTTATCTCAAATTATTTAAGGGTACACATGGCAAAAAAATCCTTAAAATTTATCAAACAAATATTAGTTTGGACCATAGGAAACAAATATTTATTTGAGTAAAAAGATATTTTTTTTAATACAAATAAATAATTTTATCAGTGTATCTGAGTATGAGTACTTATACTTATATGAATAAAACTCAAAGCAAATGACTATTTTTGTAAACTTTAGAAAGTACTCGTGAAAAAATTGAGTAACGATTATGAATATTTTAAATAAATTTAGTTAGTGACTCAAGATTAGAAAGAAGGAATAATAGTAATTAGTAATAGTAAGTCAGTAAGCAACAATTAAAAACGAGAATTTAAATTATTTTCTATCACTTGCATTTTAGTGATTTGATATACATGGACTAAAAAAGAGCAGGAAAATCTTTTTTATTTTCACCTTTTCGGAAAAAATGATATTGTTCATAAAAATATTTGCTTGTCTCAAAACCTATAACAATACAAACAGAAGGTGAATATCACTTAGCCTTAGTGAAATAATTACAAAAATGTAAAAAAACATTTTATTTTAAAAACAATGAATTTTAAAGAACTTAGATTGAAGCGAAAAATCTGAAAATCAGCTGGGTTCCAAGTATGGCAAAATTATTTTAATAAAGCAAAAAGATTCAACTTTTATTTGGATTTTTATTTTTAAAATAAAAACTGTTGAAGACTCATCATTTTTTAAAAAGTTGAAAATAAAAATGTTTTTCCTTATCTTTTTAAGTCCACCCTGTATATGCGCGAGTTGGTACTCGTTACTCTTTAGCTGTAAGATTGAGTACTCTAAAATGTAAAGTACTGTGATAATTATGAATACTGAGTCTCATCTGGCTGAAAGTATTTACTAGTACCACAAACTGTGTACTTTGAATACAATTTTAAGGTACAATTTACACGAATACAGCTCAGCTCTGCCGATACTGTATACTGCTTACTTTGAAAATATGTTGCTCTAGACAAAGTGATTCCTATCTCTGCATGGTGAAGCAAAAATAATTTTTTTCTCCGATTAACATTAAATGTCACTTTTACTGCCTAGACTGCCTACGCATTAAATATTTTCTTTTTTATTCTTTCCTCTTTTGAAGTCTTGCTCTGCATGAGTATCTGGCCAAAAAAGTTACTCTACTAAATTAACTACAAAATCACTATGAGCATATTTGTATATGAATTGGAGGTATATAGTTATAAAAACAACGATTAGAATAAACATTAAAAATGCGTGCGTGGTATCTATTATACTTAAAAGATGTTTTCATTTTAATTCCATTTTTTTAATACACTGTATAAACAATCGTTTCATTGTCATTTCTAATAAAATAAAATTATTTATTTTATTTTGGTGTGATCGTAGAAAACATCTTTCTATCTCAACTGCCAAAGTGCTACTTTCTGCTCTTAATACACAAATAGCTATTTTGTTACAATAATTGTATAAACTTTTACTCAGCTACTAGCTATATGCAGATATAGTGTTAATGTCCTAATCATAAATAAATCGTGCAAACAATTGAAGTCAAGTCAAGTTTTTCATCTTTTAACAGTAATCAAAATTAAATACTACAACTCAAATATTTACGCTCGACCTAGAAAATATCCTACTCCTTCCACCCAGTTTTTTGTTTTTGGCAAAATTCCCGCAGCGGCAAAAGCTTTCTATCTCTATCCTTTTCAACCTCTTTGTGCTCGTCCTCTAAACTAAATATGTCCAATCTCCATGGGCCCAGTTATTTTTAATGTTAACGTTAAAACATTCCTAATTTTTGTAATCATAAAACGAATTAATTTATATTTTTGACTGTTTAAAGCGTTGATAATATGTTCTAATGTAATAGATTGTACATATACGTTGTTAAAATTCTTTACATACATAGGGCTGTGCCCAATAATTATGTAATACGAAGTTTTTGAAATTTAAAATAATTGTAATTTGAAATAATAGAGGTAGAAATAAAATATTGCGTTTGCGATTGTATATCATTAAAAAAACAACCTATAAATTTATTAATGAATATTATTTTAAATATTACTACAAATAGGTAAGTACCTATCTTTCTTAAAAAAATTAAAGGACTTTGTTTTTATTTAAATTTAATGATAATAGATTTATTATTAGGACATTAATCCTTTTTTATGATTGGTATACAGGGTTATTCATTCATCTGATTAGTTTTTCATATGGCAATAATTAAAAAATTTACTATTTTTTTTTATCCGCATTGTATTTTTGGATTCGATACGTCGGAAATTAAATTTTTTTTTTATATAAGCTTGAATAAGGTAATAATTGGATTTATTTTTATAATTTCATTATGACTATTCAAGCTAATTTAAAAAATAGTGTAATATTTATATCATTACATTGCCGAGTGTCAGGCTGTCAACTATCGTTGGAATACCTTATTCTATCGTCAGTTGGCACCCAGCTACAGTTTGCCTAAAGCGAGTATTGTTTGTGGCCATTTTGTTCTCTCTGTTCATTCTACTCTACCCCACTTCATCCCACTCTACTGCACTCTACCTTCACTCGACCCTTAATCTACCTTCACACTACCGCTACTTTACCTTCACTCCAATGCACACTACCCCCCACTCTACGACACTCTACCCTACTCGACCTCTCTACCATACTCAACTTCACTCTTCCTTCACTTTACCCCCCCCTACTCTATCCTACTTCACTTCACCCTTACTTTACTATATCCTACTCTACCCCACTCTACCTTTACTTTATCCCCACTTTACCAAAGCCGCAATTCTACCCCACTCTGTCACACTTTACCCCACTCTACTCTACTCATATCTACTTAACTTTACCCACTCTACCCCACTTTTCTCTCACTCTATCGCGTTCTACCCTGATGTACCTTACTCTACTTTACTCTATGTTCTTTTAATTTCGTTACTAGTTTTTGTTACCGTTACCATGGTTACATGCGCTATACTTAAATGTTTTTGAAATTTTACTTTATTTTCACCAAATATCGGACCGCTGCCTACTTATTAAATATCGAATGGCAAAAATAATGTTTTGACGGATATATTAAAATTTAATTTTCACCTTAGCCTAAAAATATATTCTTTGGCGTTACTTGCTTGTTTACCTCTACCTCATTCGTCCAGAAAGTGACAGATTCATCCATAAATAGCATCTTCTGCAATTTTGACCTAGTTTAGTAAAATGCAATTTTTTGATATAAAAATCGGACAAAAATTGCTATTTTCTAATCAGTTAAAAAATATAATTCATCCATTCCTAATAGATAAAAAACTGAAACTTACTTTTATCTGGTCCATTATCTTGCTTGGTCTAGTATTGTAGAAGTATATCTGCTTTATATTTTAAATAAAAACAAAAACAATTTTTTGTAATAATTTACTAAATACAAAGCTCATACCTAATTCAATACAAATATAATTTTAATGATTAGAATAGATTAGCTACTAGTCCATTCATCCAAAGTCATATCCGTAATAAATCACGAACAAATATTTACTCTTTTATTCACCTTACAAGTATCACATTGCACTTCACAGCAATATTTAAACGTACAGTTACAATTAACTCTAATTTCTTCAGTGTATGTTGAGTATCCCCTTCCACAACATAAAATTCCACAGCCTTCTTCACCTTGTGAAGTGTCATTGCAGATCCTTCCCTGCGTTCCGAAGGAACCTAGTGTGTTATTAGGCACACAATACAATGGAGATTCTTCAGAGTAGACCAGATCACCACGACCTGGACGTTTAATAGTTTCACCTTCAGGCATAAAGCTCTGACCATCGTTTCCTGCTATTACTTTTGCAGCTCCATCAAATCTTTCTTTAAGTCGATTACCAACTTCTCTGAACGTTGGCATTTTTCGAGTGCATGTCCTAAGAGTACAGGATCCAGAAAGTCCATGACACTTGCATACTGGCACCATACATTTTTTTATCGCCTGAAACAAGTGAAACCTCGAATTATAACAAAGAAATATACAGGGTTGGGCATAATTGGCGGAACACCCGATTTGTGGCTCAATTATGGATTGTATTGAAAATTAACCCAAATAAAGTTTTTTGTATATTTTATGTACTATTTAATGACGCTTGGGGATTTTCATTATCTGTCATATTTATCAAGATATGACGTCATCGGATGAAATTTTAAAAGAATCACCCTATATTTATATTTTTTTTCAGATAGATCTTTTCTTTCTGAATCCATCAATATGGGGTTCGGGTGGTCTCTGATTTTCCTTATCATCAGAAAATAATAAAACAAAATGGTAAACGTTCTTTTAAATAATTAATGAATAACTATTCACAAAGTTGTCTGTGCCATCATAATGTACCAATATCAATTGTTTTGCCATGGTTTCACTTTTTGACATTAAAATGTAATATTGGCATCTCGATATTAATCACTGAGTTTTATTAATACGATTATTGTACATCTCTGACAGAAATACCTACCAATGTTTTTGTGTTACTGTTTACTTGGTTTTTATAATATTATAAAAACTATTGTCACCTTTTATTAATCTGTAGATTTTAATTCATTCTGGTTTATGGAGACAATCAAACAAGTTGAGTTTAATTGCAAGTCAATTCATTTCACCCAAACTAGCCCAATACGCGAAAATAAATAACTCTTAGCATTTGATACTATTGAGAATTTTTATTAATTTAAACCATGGTTGAACTGAGTGAACGTGAAAGAATTACACTATTGATGATTATTGGGTTTGGAGACAGAAAGAGATCTCTGCAAGAAGCTTGTAATTTGTTCAATGAAACATTTCCTGACAGGATTTCCCCGATTTCTAAATCTACAGTATCCAGAAATTTGAGCAAGTTTAATGAAACAGGAAGTGTGAAAAATAATCCCAGATCTGGACGGAAGAAGACAGCCACTGATGAAGAAAATGCACTTAATGTGGTTCTAAGTGTACAGGAAGAACCAAAAACTTCAGTTCCAAAGCTTGCGTTAGACAATAATATGAGCGAGAGATCTGTAAGGAGGATTCTGAAAGTCAATAAATTTCATCCCTATAAAGTGCAATTACACCAGAAATTGAATGAAGATGACCCAGATAGGCGAATGCAATTCTGCCAGGTAATGATGGATGCCATTAATAGAAATAATATGTTGATGAACAGCATTGTTTTTTCCGACGAATCAACATTTTGTCTCAATGGATTTGTAAATAAACATAATTGCCGGTATTGGTCTGATCATAATCCTCACTGGATGGAAGAAGGTCACACCCAATATCCACAAAAGTTAAATGTTTGGGCTGGTATAGTTAGAGGAAGAATTATTGGACCATTCTTCATGAGAGGAACTCTGAACGGTGATCGTTATTTGCAACTACTTCAAGAGCAGATAGTTCCAGAGTTAGTTCGTTTATATCCAAATCACAGAAATCACTTACAACTTTCTGATGAAATTTGGTTCCAGCAAGATGGTGCTCCACCTCATTTCGATGCTAGAGTGAGGCAGTACCTGAACACAATATTTCCACAGAGATGGGTGGGTCGAAGAGGACATATTGAGTGGCCGGCACGGTCACCGGATTTAACCCCACTGGATTTTTTTCTTTGGGGCCATTTGAAATCAGTAGTTTATAAGGACCTGCCACATTCGCTGGAAGAATTGGAATACAAAATAAGAATTGCTGTTCAAGAAATAACACCTGAAGTTTATCAAAATGCCTTAAGATCATTTGTTGATAGACTAGGATATTGTCAGGCAGTTGGAGGCTTTCACTTCGAACACTTACTTTGAGAGATTTGTAATACTTCGATTGATAATAATTATTATTTTTTATTAAATAAATGTTTACTTTCTATTTTGTTATGAACTCGGAGACCCTCAAACCTTACATTAATGGATTCAGAAAGAAAAGATCTATCTGAAAAAAAATATAAATATAGGGTGATTCATTTAAAATTTCATCCGATGACGTCATATCTTGATAAATATGACAGATAATGAAAATCCCCAAGCGTCATTAAATAGTACATAAAATATACAAAAAACTTTATTTGGGTTAATTTTCAATACAATCCATAATTGAGCCACAAATCGGGTGTTCCGCCAATTATGCCCAACCCTGTATAATATGTATTAGAGCTAAATTCAAATAAAAATGCAATGAAATATTTAATAGAGATGAACCAATAAAGGTGATTCCGTTATAATAAGTAACAAAGATTATTATTTTGTAAAGTATTTTTAAGGTAAAATCAAATCATTCGATTATACAGGGTAGGCCACCGGTAACGCCTCTACCTGTAAAGTCAAAACTATATGATTTTTTTTTAAGAAAGTGATACATACGTATTTAAGTATAAAACCCTCTATTTTATTCTCTATTTGAATTGCACTCGCTTTTCTCGTTATAACAGTACCAAATAATATTTTACACACTATAACCAATTTTATGTGAAAATCGTATTGATTTCAATGACCCGTAAAGTGCAGAAAACAAGAACAAGAACTAAGTAAGATTTTTTAATTGGTAATGTGACGTTCTTTGAATCTCAGTTCACAGTCGAATATAATTCCTTAATTTTTATATTTTTTTACAACCGGTATTTATTTAATTTTTATAGTAATATCTTCTAAATTTATTTATTGTCGAGTAGGATAAAATAGGATACATATACAATTCTTGTGAATTGAAATATTCAACTGTTCTACTTAAATCGGAGTTTATGTAGTCGATGGCATTTGTTAAATAGGAAGGAGGAAATGAATAGTACCTGAGTTTTATCTGCGAATGAGTGTATGTTTACATATATTACAACTTTGTAGATAAATAACAAAGAGCAACGGATCAAAAACTGACCCTTGTGGAACTCCAGATGTAACGCATCTAAAGTTATAACTACTTTCTGGAACCTATTACTAAGATAAATTTTTGAAAAAATTTAGAAATATTTCAACGAAACCATAGTTACTAAGTTTAGCTTTAGAGAAATCTAATTGCGTTACTATTGTTTCAAATCAGCTGTCAAGAGATCTAAAAATATCATCGGTTAAATTTAGTAACAAAGAAGTATTATTAAATTTTTTCCGAAAGCTTGATTGGCAGTTATAATTTAATTTACGACTATATAGTCGTATATTTTTTTAAACCTCTCTGTATATGATGCTTAAAGTAAATATATTTGTTTATGTGATGTACCCATTACGATATATAGGATATATTGTAAAATAGCGAAACTCAATGAACCAACTTTTTAGCTCACCCTATATACCTGTATTTTTTATAAAAATAAAGTGTCGTTTATACACACTTATATAACCATATATAAATATACATGTGTTATCATTATTTTAGGCGTTAAAAGATTTTTTAAACATACAATTTTTCTATTTTAATATAAAAAATTACTCACTCTGTACAGTTGTTATTCAAAATGGTGTCATGTTTTGAAAGTCACAAATAATATCCTAGAGAGTTTAATCATATCTTTTAATATTTAGGAATGTTAGTAAAATTACAACGTTGTCTTAAGAGGAAAATTTACACTACAAACTAAAAGACCTGCGGGGCAACGGTAGTTTAGTAGGTATAAAAATTACAACTTAAGGGTGGAGCCTAAATACTACAAAATTACTTCCGAGACTAAACAAAATCCGCATTCATTCATAATTTTAACAATTGCATGTAGATACGAGGGATACGTATTCCAAACTCGAACGCGAAGTTGGAACATATAGGAACCGAAAAATCAACACGGCTACCGACCTTCATCATTTCTTGAGTGAGTCAGAGTTACCTAAATTAGGGGAACCAGAATCGTATTTGTTTTTCTCGGTGCATTGCGAGATATTGTTATAACGCAGTTCGATTTTTTAGAGGGTTTTACATTATTTTTATATTTTAATTTAGTGAATAGACTTAGTTAGATTAAATTACATTTAGGAGTAAAGAGGTGTGAAATATAAATACAAATAACGGAAAAATAGACGATTGGTTCGAATAAGGTAATAGGATCAATTAATACAGGGTATTTATTAATTGAGTGCCGATACTTAAGGGTGTGAATTCTTGGGTGTTAAAGTTTTAAGAAAAAAATAACTATTTTATCATAAGTTTCTTATCACTCTAGATATTTTTATGAAATTTTGCCCCAAAAAAAAGTGTTTCCACTCATGGTGGATTCCTACCAAATTTCAACAAAATATAAAAAGCAGTTTCAATAAACTGGTTTTTATTTTCTTACGCGAAAAGGGTGCGTCGTACGAAAGTACGTCTAAAAACCAAATTTGCTCCAAAATAAATAAGGATTTTAAAGATAATTTTGGTTTTTAGAAAAAGCAGTGGCGTATTATATTTTTGTTCAAAAATATTCAGTTCAAACCTGGTACGGACGTCACTGGTAAACATTTAGAAGTCTTTTACGACAAAAAGGCGGGATTGAAAGTGAAAGTTTAGTCTGTTGGTACATAATATACTATATTTATATATATAATTTTTAATATTACACTGAATGTGACATGGCTTTTTTGTTTGCCTTTTTTGGATTAACAAAATATTATTTTAATGATTTAAAATAAACTGTCAGTAATAATAATTATCTGTACTTAAACATATAAAACGACGCATCAAGAAAGCACCAAATTATCAAACTTTTAATTTACGTAACAAGTAATAAAAGTAATTTTAAAAAACCGACTTTAAAATCGTGCAGATGCCATCATCACATCTTAACCAAATTTATATGGGACCACCCCTGAGGTACTCCCTTACTAACGAAAAGAATTATAGAAATCGGACAAGGTGGTAAAGAATTATCGCTGAACATACATAAAAAATAAAAAGTTTGAGGATTTTCTCATGGACCCAATTATTAGATTTTGACCAAATTTATATGAGACCATCCCGGAAGTACCCCCTTTCCAGCAAAAAAGAATCATTTAAATCGGACTGTGTTAAAGAAT